TGCTCTGATCAGTTTTGGGGTAAAAATCTGTGCATATTGATTATCTGACTTTGTATAATCATTAGTGTTTCAGCTTTCCACATATATCTCTAGAACCAATTATAGACAGACAGACAGACAGACAGACAGACAGACAGACAGACAGACAGACAGACAGACAGACAGACAGACAGACAGACAGGATAACTACACAGACAACCATTATGTGCACACAAAAGTAAAAAAGACAAATTTTTACACTATAATATAAAACGATTATTTATGCATTATTTCTATGAATAAAAATGAAAAATTTCTAAAATGAATTAATAAGATAGTTTCCAATATGCATAACTTATTCAGAAAGTTTATTCTGTTTGGGAGACATTACCATCTCAGATAACTTTCCATCAATTCCTATGTCAAAATCAAGTTTACCAATAGATGACATATCATCCGTGATTATAATATTTAAATTTAAAGAAAGACCAAATTAACATTGCAGATATTGAGAACGACACCCCCTATAATTCAATCACGAAATAAAGGCTACTTTGTTTTTTTATTGCATGTTCACATCTATGCTCCACAATGTATGGTCTACAGTACAAAAACAACTAATCCACAATAAACATGTTATTTCTCAACTGCTCTAACAAGAATGATAATTTTATATAATCTTGTCACTCTTCCTGAATTCAGACAAGTTTTAAAGGATGGTGGTTTTGTTGTGTTCAATACTACAATTAGCAATGTATACATGTATTGTCGAAAAAATTCAAACATGAGCTGTACAAAAACCAACCCCCCCACATCAGATTAAACATTTGATTCAATGACATTTCACTGTCAAGTGATCATTCATAATTTTCTTCTTGGTTGGTACTGAAGAAATTTTTTTTGATGAATATGACCCACAATCTGAATGGATTAACTTCAATCTGGTGTAAACAGGGATGAGAATGAGAATTTTAATTTTCAGCTGAAAGTAAAGTAGCCGGGGTCCGAGAACCGTAGTTGATCAAATCGCTACAATACAGACACTGCGCCTTTCCCAAGACCTCGCACTTGTTGATGAAGTCACTAAATTTTTCAGTTACCACTTCATCTTTCTTCCTGATTCGCACGATCAAAGTCACTTCTTTGTCAAGCCATGCTGAACAAAATTTGTTCCCAATGTCTTTATCGATCTCTCGCACAGCTGACTTGTTGTCTTTTGTAACGAATTTCACCAGTATCGCTGCATGAAACTTGTAAACAACGATCCAACGCAGCTAACAATTGAAACAATAAAATGGCGCCATTGGTGAAAAGAAAAATGAAAGCTCTTCACTGACAGCCGACAACAATGACCCGACAGCATGTTTACTTCCAGTGAATGAACAAGATTTGTATTCTTACCCCCCTAAAATTTTCTCTTCGGATTTAGATGTTTCAGAAAATCGATCCCTGGGGCTTAGAAATCCGCGAAATTCTGCATATGCGCGGAAAATTCTCATAACTGTGTAAGACTGGAACATAATAAATCCAATTCAGAAATTAGCTTCAATCCCAGTGTAGTCTGAATACAATACTAAATCTAATTCAGAAGTTAACTTTGGTTCGCATTCATACAAAATGTCCAACTATATTCCATTCTTGTCAAGTTGGGTATATATAATTATCACCGTTCTAAGTTTGCTTTTTGTATACTATCTTCTACTTTACTACGAAGTGTCTGAATTACTTGACGAGGATTATCACTTTTCACAACAGCAGTACCAGAGACAATCATATTAGCACCAGCCTAGGGAGTACAAAAAGAGAACAAGAGTCACTGCATGAAAGTGAAGATAGTCTCAGATTTGGATTTAGCTCGGTTCAGTATATAATAGCAGTTTCTGTATATTTGTAGGATTTATTTATAAGGGCACAGTTTTCATACAAACTATGTGCTCATGACCGAATATGACATGCATAGTGCAATGACTGTAAAGAATCAAGCGCAAACTACCGTAGTATAGGAGATAGCACACAACAGTTTGTATAATGCACAGCATTTCATTAACAATGATCGCCAGGTTAAAATAATTTTTTTTTTTTTACAATGTATCACATTGCTTATTGCCAGGCTAAAAATTAAACATATCAACGACGAAATTTCAATTCATCAATGAATCATCACTGATGATTCTTTTTACCCTCTCTACCCTCGTTGCAAACATCTTTCAAGGTGCTCAAATAAATTGGTAAAATACTGAGCAATGAATTGTCACTAGACTCACCTCTGCACACTGTTCTATTGTATTCAACCCAACTCCTCCATCAACTTCAATGTCGAGAGCTCGAAACTTTTGCCGCAAAAACTGAACCTAAAACCATGAGAAATTAACGCAATCATATATGTTACATGCAAATATTTTGGATGTTTATTAGTCATGTAACAAGAAGAAAAATTTGCTGAGACCAAGAAAAACAAAGAAAATTGCTCACTGCTAAAATATTCTTAACCCTTCTACTCTATTCTCAGAATTCATCTCACGCAAAGCGGTTTATTTATGATATAAAGACATACCTTCGGCATCATGTCAGACATAAACGACTGTCCACCAAATCCTGGTTCTACTGTCATTATTAACACCATGTCAACATCTTCTATGTAAGGTAATACCACTTCTACATCTGTTTTAGGTTTAACACCAATACCCACCTAGGTAACAATTAAATGATATTAAAAAAATTTGCCATCATTTTTGGGGGGATGGAGGAGGGTTGGTTAGATGGGTGGAAATTTTATTGATCATTTATTATTGGAAGGACATGTTCTATACTTTATACTGAATTAATTCTAATCTTAAATCTTTTAATTCAATCTTGATTAACATGGATATGCACGTTATTTCATAATTTACACATTTGTTTTGCATGAATACAAAGTCTATGATCAAATAGTATTAAAACCTATTATTATACGTCTGTCACCATAATGCCATAGGTTACAGCGTGCTGTTATTTTGCGGTATTTTCATCCTACCATATAAGGAAATGTGAATTCCAAATATGGGATGATTACGCGCGAAGAAAGCGTCCTCTAATAATAAAAACAAACATGGCTGCCACCGGGGATTGACCGGACTCCACACAAAGAATTTTGCTGATTTTGTTCTAAACTTTTTGTGTTCTAAACTCAGACAGTACTACATCGCATCAACCGCTGCTAAGTGTCAGTCGATACTCTCGCTGTACTGTCTTTGTGCATATCTTAAGGTTTTTTCAGAATAACCTTATATACCTTCATTCCAGCTTCCCGTATTTTCCTGATACATGACTTTGGATCATCCGTTGCCTCCACATGGAAAGTATATTGATTGGCACCGGAATCCGCCATTGGTTCTACCCACTGGAGGAGAATGAACAAACCAATGAATATTACAGCAGGTACGAAAATTCTGTATAAATACCAGGAACCGATTTAATTTTGCAAGAGAAAAATAACGACAAAAATATTCATCAAAATTAGTAAATTGAATATATCATTCATGAAATGAATAAATCTAAGTGAGATCTGCCAAAGGTATATATACACCAAGTATCAAAGCAATAAGGCTTGTAGTTTTCAAGAAGAAGTTGAAAAAGTAAAAATGAGATGAAAATCACTCATGTAATAAGCTTCGCTTGACAGTCAACAGCGGCACTAACAAGTGTAGAATTAACTTGCACTGTATAACAGTAGCCATTAAGAAGACACCAAAGCAAAATATAAATGACTTACTGATTCTGGATTAGAAACCATCATGTGCATATCTAGAGAACAAAAAAAACTGCAATATTATTATTATTTACAAGTCAAATCATCATACTATGCTGGATTTATTAAAGTTCTTAGCATTTTGATGCATTGACACACTGAGAATACTTTGATGATGGGGAAATCCTAATATATCATTTTGAATACATCTATATATTTATAACATGATGTAAAACGAATATATAAAATTTGAACATAATCAGTCAAAGCATGGCAAGATATGGCACTAGAACTGCATTCATTAAAACAAAATGGCCACCAGTTGGCCATTTTGAATCTGATCTAAAAAATAAAATGATGTGCATCAAGGTCCCATAATGTCCAACGTATGTGTACCAAGTTTGAACAAAATCCATCCATAAAAGCTTGATTTTGATGATTTTCTAGCACAAAAATGGCCAACAATTTTCATGCATCTTTACAATCTTTCTGGCAAAATGGATTAATACCTTGAATTTCCGATATGCACACAAAATGTAAGTTATCTTGAATCAGAGCGTGAAACAAATTGATGTGCATATGTATAATATTAAGTATGATGTATGTGTGAAGTTTGATTGTGATTGGTCCAGCCATGTCTATGATGTGTCCAGCATAAGTCCCAGTTTACAGACTGCGTCTGAACGGGAACTAAAAAAAATTCAGCCATGGTAATATAAACATGTGTACATAGAGTTCTCCTCAGACAAATGCCTAAGCATGACAGTACACATGTAGAAAATTAAAGCATATATACAAGGCAGAATTTGATATGTAAAAAAATTAAACAAGCTGCTTTTTGATTGGTCAGACTTTGAGGTGTTAGGATTGGGATAGCCAATCAGGCACAATCTTGCAAGTATCATCCCATTGACTCAAGAATGATGGCTAATTTGCATAATAATACTATACAATTTGAAATAGTTAAAATATCAATAATCTCAGTTACAGAATGCTTTATTAGACATGCTCTAAAAAAGAACCCAAGCTATCTTGTTGCACAGCGACAAATTTGTTTTGTTGTAGCTATATTTCACTTTGAATCCTAGACCAGCAAAATTCTAAAAACAGTATTTTGAATGGCGGATGTTTAAATGACATAACAGTAAGATTTACTCACAGGTACTTGTGTCTTAGCAATAGCAAAGCTGCAATGCATTGTGGGATATAAAAGTACACAATCACAATGATTCAAAGTATTACAAATTATTATACATTTTTGTACTCTTCAGATACTCACCAAAAAATGCACTTGTTTTCTTCCGAAGACAAGCTACCACTGGATGGCCAAATGTAATATTAGGAACAAAATGACTGCAGAAAAAAAAATATTTGTTGAAAATGTGATTTCAGATCTTACACATGGTCTTATTTTCAGAAAACGTTTAATTTAAGATTTTCACCTTAATCCTTATTTTGTCCATATACCCCCCAATACTATACATAGTATGTCCCTAATTACTTATGTACCCCCAATACTATACATGATGTGTCCCTAATTACTACATGTACCCCAATACTATACATGGTATGTCCCTAATTACTACATGTATCCCCCAATACTATACATGGTATGTCCCTAATTACTACATGTATCCCCCAATACTATACATAGTGTGTCCCTAATTACTCATGTACCCCCCAATACTATACATAGTGTGTCCCTAATTACTCATGTACCCCTCAATACTATACATGGTGTGTCCCTAATTACTAACCCATCCATAACATCAAGATGAAGATAGTCAGCGCCGGCATCCATCATTCTTTGCGACTCAGATGCTAACAACGAAAGGTCAGAGTTTAAGATAGATGGCCCAATTTTACACTCAGCATGGTTCTTCTCAGCCATCTTGCACCAACACAAATTTTCTGAAAACAAAACAATCACAGGGTCATATGTTATTATTAATAACATAATGTCACACCATCTCTTGAGAGATAAAATCAGTGATGATGTCAGGACAGTATTGTCCACCATAATAAAAAGTTTGACATAAAAAAGAATACATACCACACTTAAACATACAAGTTTTGGCACTAGAAAAGACAACTGATACACTGATACAACCCTACTACAGCGTGCATAAAACCTGAACCTTGGAAATGCAGTGAAACACTACTCTTACGCCAAATGTGAATGCTATATTTTGCTGAAACTTTCACATGATGTTATTCACTGTATTGTAAGCTTATTTTGAGCTAGGGCTTAATTCTAATGATAAAAGGCAGCATATTGCTGGAGATTCTGAATCTAAAATTAAACAAGCCAATCACAGGATGGCTTACAGTACATGTATAAACTGGTGCACCAGCAAAAAATATCACAGAATTTATAAATAAAATAAGGATAAAGAAGGAACCTTATACATTCACATATTATTTTATATTTATATGTACATATGTAACGAAAAATAACACGCCACTGTCTTCATGTACATTGAAAATAGACAAGTTATATTTTGACTGGATACCGACTTAAAATCACACACCTCATCTCTCATATTATTAACATGTTCATTGTTTGAAGAGCTGAGATGGAGGGGGGCACTTCATGAAGTTGTTTTATTCATTTGTAATATAGTAGATCCAATTGGTTTGGTTAGTGAAACTTACCACAAATGACAACACGGATATCACAAGTTCTTTTTCAGATATTTATCAGTCCCAATTATATTTTTTGGCCTGAAAAAAAATAAAATAAATTCATTAGAAGGTCACGTTTATGAATTTTATCTTGGCTGTTTAATCAAACATTCATAACATAACCAATGGGGTACACAGATATATAGAAAGTTATCTAATAACATAACCTCAACTAGATTGGGTTCTACTCTAGTTGATGACAATACTGTACTTAGGAATACACATTTTTTAGGGTCCAAAAGATAATATTCTTTTAATATGAACAGTCCTTTTATGTAGATGACTGAATATTTAAAGTTTAAGGGTTTGCTAAGCCCATTATAAAAAAGCAACCATACCATAAAATTGACTTGTTTGACCCCCTAGCTGTGGTAGGATAAGCTCTAAATTAATATAAAATGTCCTCTCTAACAGAACAGAACTGTCAATTGTAGAATGGACAAAAAGCAAAATGTTTTGGAAAGTTGCAATCCAACTGACCGTTTGAATAAATCTCAGAACCTAATAATAATTTACAAAAATCATTCTTAAAAACATCTGACACTACATCTGACATCTACTAAAATGGTCAACAGGATAATACTTCAAATTCAATGACCAAACAAATATTCCTCCCACCAATCTACATATAGATCTGTGTACAGATATGCGAATGTGACTATGGAGGTGCTTCTTTTCACCGGGACCTTGGTGTACAGGGAAGTCTCAATGTAGAAATCACCCCTAAATTAATAAACATTAATCACTAAATCAGGGGCACCTTGATGTTCGTATCGTCACATATAAATTTCAATTTTGTTGCAGTAAATAAAGTGATGGAACGTTTGTTACTTATTATTTAATGATCATTTCATAAAACTAAGATCTACTACAATAAACTATTCGCACTTACAAAACATAGATATTTTGCTTACCAGCGTTCCCTTGCAGAGCGGTATAATTTCCACAGGTGACCGGCAATCAGAGGCAGTTTCAAAAACTCGGTAAACGTCGGTGAATCAGGTGATCGAAAAAGTG